TTAAGAGCATCAGCCCACAGTCAGGCTATTTGAGTCTGAACTTCACCACCTACTTGCCACTTGACTTTGGACGAGTCACTTGACATCTCTAAGCCTCATTTCCGTCAAGTATAAAGTGACGATAATCACAGTAAATAGTCATGAGTGTTCAATAAAGACAGTGCATTCAAGGATGCGACATTGGTGCCAGGCACATAGTTAAATGTTTAATAGCATTAGCCGCCGTTAGCTGCGTGCATACCTAGCTGAGCTCACCTGGATTGGTGGCTGTCACGGGGCCAGGAACTTTGTCATTCTCCTCTGATGGGACATATGGGACAGTGCGGGAAACATTGCTAGGCACACAGTAGACACAGGTTTTCTGTCACTTGAAAGTAAAACCTGCCCTGGGTATGTGGAAAATGCAGGAGTGACTGTAATGGAAACTTGCAGCCTGTTTCCCAGGCTGGCCGAAGGCTCCGAGCTGGAAACTTTCTCCTGAAGCCGTACAGAACATGTGTGATCTAGCAGTGGGGACGGGGGCTCAGTGGCTGGGATGCTGCAGGATCAAACGTGGGAAACTGATGCGGGAGATGCTTTGAGCTTTGGCAGCATCCCTTGCGGCTCAGTGAGTCGGGCACCGCCCCCCCACACTCCCCCACTCCCCGCCACCAGATGTTGGGGAGGAAACAGCAGGTCATTTCAGCTGGTCCAGGCAGAGAAAGGGAGAAGCTTGAGGTTCACTTGTACACGACCTCCCCTGAGGCCAGGTCTCCCCGTAGCTCACCCATCCGGAGCTTCGACTGGTCACTGGACCCAGTCTTGGATTCTGGTCCAGACTCTACCACCACTACTGTGAGGCCCTGGGCAAGTTAGAGCCCCTGGTAGAATCTGTTTGCTTAAATGTCACTTAAAGGATTGGGGACCCAAATTGCTGTTTCTCAAACTCTTTGGTAATGTTTTCGAACATGGCGCTTCTGGAAGGAACACTCGAGTGTGTTTTTTGTGCTGTTGATGGTACGTGAGGTGATTTGGGATGGCCCCTGGATGAACACTGTGTGTTTACTAGTTCTATAGTTTAATGTGTATCAATGAAAACAGCCAGCGTATCAGACCTGTGACTTCATGGGTAGTGTTCCTCAGGACGATATTAGAGTGGATGTGATTTTTTTAAGCTTTAAGAAAAATACTAGGTGACCAGTAGTTGGGGTGTAAATGGATGGGAAGGTCAAAAAGGCTGTGTGGCAGTGGTCGAAGTGTGTAACTTCTAAGGTTTGGTAAGCCTCGTGTGCTGCCATGCCCTCATGAAGTCTGCGGGCAGAGTAGAGCAAGTCCAGGTTTGAGTAAAATCAAAGACTTTCCTTACTCACGCGGGTCGACAGATTTCCGTTTGTGCTTTCATGGCCAAAGTGCCCATAAGTAGATTGCGGAGGATTTAAGCTGTAGAGGTTAGCACTGGTGACCGTAGTTTTAATAATGCAAAAATGAATAGTGTCGCTTCCTCTTTCGCCTTCAGCCGTCGTCCTGCAACCTGGATCGACCTTCAGCTCCTTTTACTCTCGGCGTCGGAGCTCCCCACGGTTCTGACCCGTCCTGTCGGGGAGGGAGCAAAAGCCACCCCTTGTCTTGCACACACGCCAGCGTAGGTTCGGGAAGGCCGAGACGCCGCTCCCTCCTAGTAACCTGTGCGTTCCTTCGCGCTGGTAGCTGCTTTAAGGTGCGCTGCGACGTGTGCCCTGAAGCTAACACTGGGGCTTCACTCAGACTTTCATCTCACTTTCTGCCGCTCTGCTCTTCACATGGAGGTGTCCTGAGAAGCGAAACCAGCCGAGGTAGAAGCGAAACCAACTGTTACGGGGCGTCCCTTCTTTTTCAGTAAAACCCCAGATGAAACTGGAAACCTCGATTGTGTAATCGCTAAGAAAGCTGCTTTCCGGCGCAGGTTATGGCTTCTTGAAAAAAAAAAAAATTTAATTTTTTAAGCCTTCGTTTCCTGTGTTCCCTTGACATTTTTCGTGTATCTTAACACCGTCGTCTTTGATCGTCTACGTTTGGTTGGCCTGTGTTCTGCAAGCGATTTTGTTCTAGAATCACCTTCGCGTGAAGGCCACGCATCTGGTAATAAATTATTTAATGTTTCAAATCGTAGTTTTGAAAAATTGCTGTAAAAATTGATTTCTGCCGCTCTCATCACGCCCATGTTCTTCCTGTTCCATGCATCGTCTTGTCAAGATTAGCTTAAAAGAGAGTCAAATGGTGACAGCGATTTAGCCCAAGATTTTTCTCCTCCTCTGTTTATTTAATGCAAAGTTTCTACATGATTCCACAGCGAGAAGCTCTGAGTTTCCCCAGCTGAGGTAGACTCTAATGTCCCAAGCCGCGAGCCCTCGTACTTGGTAGATTTTGGTTTTGTCATTCATGCTGTCCTGTCTCCTAAAAGAAGCGACCCGTGTTATGTGGCACGTTGGGAGAGGGCTGTATTTTGCAGGATTAGAACCCTGGCTTCTCACCAAAGGCTGCGTTGTGACATTCATCCTCTGGGCAGGCCCACAAGACCTCCTCACACAGGGCAGATGTCAGTCTGAACCAGTCCACTTCCCTCGGCGTGGAAGTTAGATGTTGATTATAGGGAATGGCTGGCGAGTCCGGAGGAATTCGGAAAGGGGACGCGCAGGGCTTGTGACGTGTGCCCTCGGTCTGCAGACCAGGATTTGCGAAGCTGGAGTGAAGTGTATTTCCTTCTCTCCTGGGAAACTGCCATTGGTGAGGATCTCTGTGGGCAGCTGAGTAGTTGGGCTTTTAAAAGATGAGAGCCACGTGAAAGACCGTTCTTTCCCAGTCCTCCAAATCATCTCCGTGGAGGTGTCTCCCTCGAAGTGCACGTGTTCGAGACCACACGTTTGAAAAGATGAAACGTAGGTCAGAGTCGGAACGAGAGGTGTACACAGTGGTGGAGTTTAAAACCTTTCCAAGCCATTCTCACTGTGGGCCTCTGTTGGGAGACCAAGCTTCTAATTCATCCGGAGTCTTTCACTTCCAAAATAAAACCTTTTCAGTATGTTGGGACCTTGAATTTTCTTGGTATCTGAAAGCAAAAGAACAGAAATGCGTAATCGAAGACTTTCTTTAACCCTAACCTCCCCAGGCAAAGAGCTAGAGTTGCTTCATTTACCCCAGCATTTGCTTTTCGGACTGCAGCTCACCAGAGACGATAAAAGATTATGCAACAGGTAAAAATCTGCCCGGCTGCCTTTTCCCCCGTTTGGAAGGGAGCAGTCCCCTTCCCTCACAGGCGGGCCAAGCTCCTCAATGTGGTTCCTGGCGTGGCTGTGTGCACACAGCACTTAGCCCGACCCGCTCACCACCAAGTTGGAGTCTCCAGCATTTAGTGCTTCCGACTCAGAGCCTTTGATTATGATAGCGGCTTAACGGAACAGAAATTTTGAAAACACACTTTTAACAGTACCTACAGTTTCTAAACAGATACAAGCTATTTTCTAAGAAGGACCAGACCATGGCAGTTCTCAAGTTAGACATACGTAAGCAAGGAACCGGCTTTCCCAGACGGAATGCAGATCATTCATAGGGGACTTCTGAAACGCAGAACTCGTCTTACAGGCTAGAGAAATTTGGCCTCCAAGTTTGATGTGCTCACTTGCTGCTTTCAAAGTGAAGCATGTGGTCTGGATGTTTTTAAGGTCTGGCCCTTAGGATTGGATACATTGTGTTTCAGGAGAAAGAAATGTGTTCACATGTTGCCAGCTATTCATCGCAGTAAATCTGAGTGCCTGTTGTTTATCTGGTGTTAAGGACCTCTCTGGTGTGGGAGGAAACATACCTACCAATTAGAGACATAAGAACAATTAGAAAAAGTAAAATCAGCGCTACAAAGTATCAGTGCTGTTAGCGAAGATGACTGAGGACTCTAGGTCAGCTGGAAGGGGTCCTGGAGGAGTCGGTGGGAGGTAAAATCTGAGCTGGGCTGGAACGACCAGCACTGGAGAGCAAGGAGGCAGCGGTGTGTATGAAGCTACGTCTCGAAACGGCAGGCGTGTCGGTGCCTGAGAAGCGGGGTGACGGAGAATGACAGTCGTTGAGGTCAAATACAGAAGGGCCTCGTATGCCTTGTCGAGTTGGGATCTTACTCTGTAGCTGAAGGGGAAACAGTTAAATAGTGGCACAGTCACATGGGCCGTGTGTGTGGGAGAGAGACAGGCAGACAGACAGACAGACAGACACAGATCGCTCTCGTGGCAGAGAGCTCGGAGGGAACAGCTCATAAACTGAGAGTCTCACAGTGAAGATGGCGGGATCTGAACTGTAGAATT